ACACACACACACACATGCACACACACACACACACACACATGCACACACACATGCACACATGCACACATGCACACAACCTTCAGTTCGCACCTGTTTGGCCAACTCGTCTGTTGTCTTCGCCTTCTTCGCCTTCTTCGTCTTCTTCTTCATCGTCTTCGTCACGCAGCCCATCCCCTTCGAAGATCTCCATCTCTTGCACCACCTCCCTGTCGCCGAAGCATAACCGCAACTCCTCCCGCCGGTGCACAGCCCCGCTCTCCAGCACCAGCGCATCGCCGCCATCAGCAGCGTGGTCTGGCGCCTCCACCACGACGCGTTCCTCCACTCCCCTTTGCGGCTCCTGCTCCTGCTCCTGCTCCTGCTGGTGGTCGTGCGCACGGCGCTGCTCTCTCCCTCCTGCCTCCACGCCCCTTGCTTCCCGCCACCGCCTTGCCACCACAGCAACGGCGACAGCCACAGCCGCAGCCGCAGCCGCAGCCGCAACACCAACAACAATAACCTGCTTCCTCTCCCACATCATCGTTACTGCTTGCTGTGCTTCTTTGCTGGTTGTTTTGGTTGGTTGGTGGAAATGTGGTGCAACCGAGCAACAACACGATGCACTGTTTCATGCTCTCCTCCACCCCTCTTCCTTGGTCACGAGCGTTCATCAATCGTCATCATCTTATCTTCTTCTTGCTTACACGTTAGGATAGAGTAGAACAGGTTAGAAGCAGCAAAGGGGGCAGGTTAAGGTAACCGAGGAGGGAGCAAGGAGGTTGGCACTTGCACGGGCATTAGAAGGGTGCGGCCATGTCCAGGAGATCAGACGCATCCACCAAGCGCTGCAGCTCTTGATTCCTGTATCGTCGTTGGCCATGGAAACGAGGGACGGGGTGTGAGGGTGAGAGTGAGTAAGTGTGGGCGGGGGGAGCGCAAGGGGTAATGTCAAACAGCAAAGCACAGCATAACACAGCAAAGCACAGCACAACATAGTGCACACGACACAATGCACACGACACAAAGCGTATGCGCGCACACCTTTGAGCAAGCTTTCGCAGCCCTTCGTCCTTCTTGGCAAGCGCTGCCTTTAGCTCGTCAACCTGGCGACGTAACGTCGCCACCTCGCCCCCGTTGTTCCCTGAAGTAAAGACGGCACAAGCAGGCACGTCAGATGGAGCACGTTGGCAACACAAGCAAACACGTGCAGATGCAAACAACCCCGAGCAACCACAAGCAAACACAAGCGGGCACAAGCAACCACAAGCAAGCAAAAGCAAGCAAAAGCCAACACGAGCAGAGGCATACGAAAACGACAACGTCCAGCTCGGGCAGGCAAGCTGCAAACATACCACGTGTGGTCGCCGCTGGTTGCCATTCCTGTTTCGGGCCTCGTCGCTGGTGCCCTTGATGTGTGCGAGGTTGTTCTTCCGCGTGTCCCTGCTGCACGCTGTCTCCCGCCGTGCCGTCACCGTCGTGCTCATTGTGTGATCGCTGTTGCTGTTGTTGCTGTTGTTGCTGTTCCTGCCACATGGCCTGGATCTGGGCGCGCAGCTTGGCGTTGTCGCGCTGCAAACGCAGCATCTCCTTGTCCCGATCGGCGCGCCATTGTGCATGCAGCCGCTCAACCAACGCCTGCTCGCTCTCGGCACTGCACAGGTTAGCCAACTCGCACACGTTGGCCTCCAGCGTCGCCAACAACTCGCTCGTCATGGTGGATGGATGGTGGTGGATGTGATGATGGCGTGGACGTTGGAACGTGCTCTGTTGTGGTTGGTTGGCAGAAGTGAAGAAGCGAAGAAGAGAGGAGAGGAAAATCCAAACAAACCCATTTTCCCCGCTGCATCTTGTGCCGTCGCAAGCAAACTACAACAACAAGCCGCACTGCAAGCACTGTCCGCACTGCCAAAGATGGACCCCTTGCCGCTCGTGCGAAGTGAGGAGCAATTGACGCTCAACGTGGGCGGCACGCTGTACACGACGACGCTGGCCACGCTGACGACGGGGAGGGCTCGAGGAAGCCGCCTCGCCGCCACGTTCGCAGATCAGGGCGGAGTCGTTGACGCAGCTGTTGGTGGCAACGCCTTTTTCATCGATCGCGACGCCGACGCGTTCCACCACGTCCTCTACTGGCTGCGCACTAGCAAGATCAAGAGCAGCGTGCTGGACAACCCCGTAGTCGCAGAGTGCGTGCGCGAGGAGGCCGTTTTCTTGCATCTGCGAGCACTCGTTGAGCAACTCGGTGACGCACAAGCAACACGGCGTGTGGACGGCGCGAAACGCCTGACGCAGAAGGAATTTATGGTCATGTACAATTGCGACTCCCACGCCAACTCCCAGACACCAGGCCACGCAAGTGTTCAAGGACTTGACCTTTCGGGCCTTGATCTGCGCGGGCTGTCCTTGAGATCTTGGTGTTTTCGTGATGCCAACCTCGAAGGTGCTAACCTCAGTGGTGCCAATCTAAGGCAAGCTGTCCTCACTGGTGCCAACCTGAGAGGTGCAAACTTGTGCGGGTGTTACTTGGAGCACGCTGACTTGACTGGAGCTGACCTGACGGGCGCCAAGATGGACAAGGCGACGAAACTCACTGAAGCGGTCCTGCGCAAGACAAAGCTTTTGAGTGCTCGCTGTGCTGGAGTCATTGCACCTCGAGGTAGGCTGTTTCACGAGGCCTATCGGGTGGGCGTACCTCTGGCGCTATTACAGAAAAGGGGTAGTGCATTGTCATGAGTCCTGTGGTTTGTGTGAGTCCTCAATTGTTTCAGAATGCTGTGTGGGCATGTCTTAAACCCCACTGCCGCGGCTACTCCATCAGCATCATGACACGCTAACTTTTGTCCCACTCTCTCAACTATCAATCTTGTCGCTTCAGCTAACCTACAACAAGCCGATTTGACAAACGCCAACCTGACTGGCGCCAACTTGGAGAAAGCAGATTTCAACGATGCAACGATGACAGGCGCCGTACTTCGGGGTGCAAACTTGAGTGGGTGCGACCTTCAAGGCAAAAATCTACATGGACGTGATCTTTCAGGTGTGTTGCACGACCGTGGTTGCACTTGCCATCACCTGCCCGTCCTGCGTTCACTGCTCTTGCAAAACTGCTTCGCTTGTCGAGCGTCTAAATCACCGTCTGTCGTGTACCGTTGAAATGTACAGGTGCCAACCTCAGCAGCAGCAACCTGGTTCAGGCGAATCTGAACAGCGCCAACCTTCGAGGCAGCAATCTCACCAATGCCAACTTGACAAAAGCCAGTTTGGCCAACACAAACCTGAACGTTGCCAACTTACAAGGTGCAAATCCGAGTGCTTACGACTTGCAGACTTGCGAATTTCACAGCACTCACGTCTTGATGACTGCTATTCGTGATTATGCATGAACATGTAATGACACCTGTTCAGAACCCACCCTTATTCCTTTGATGCGTTTATTCCACATGCTAGGGGCAAAATTGAATGGAGCCGACATGACCAATGCCAACGCGACTGGTGCAGACCTCCAGTAGGCAGCGATGACCAAAGCTAAGCTGCGGGGTGTGCAGCTGAGCAACGCAAAGCTCATGCGTGTGAACTTAAGCGGTCGGACTCTGCGGAATTTTGATTTTCGCGGTTGTGACTTTTCAGGTGACGGTGTTGTCTGGCCCCCGGTGTTGGCATGTACAGACGTATTGGATCAACACACTGCCTTTCTACTCACATCCCCCACCCAACATACACATTTTCACCCTCTCACAAGCTCACACAAGCTACCAACTTGATTGACGCCAATCTGACTGGTGCCAACCTCCAAGGTGCGAACTTGAGCAACGCTCGACTTCAGGGGACCTTGCTTCAGGGTGCCACCCTTCAAGGCGTGGATCTCAGTGGCTGCGACTTGCAGGGCCTGGACTTCAGCGGTTATGATCTTTCAAGTAAGATGTGCTGTTTGCTTGATGTGTTGGATATGTTAACTCTGGTATTTGTGTGAGTATGGCCCACAGACGTCTACTCACACACTCATACTCATACTCACACTCACGCACACACACACACACACACACTCACACTCTGACACGCTAACACTCTCTGTGTGTGTCAGATGCAAAGTTGGTGGGAGCCAACTTGATTGGCGCCAACCTCTGTGGTGCGGACCTGAGCAACGCTCGACTTCAAGGGACCTCGCTTCAGGGTGCCACACTCCGAGGCGTGAATTTCAGCGGCTGCGGCTTACAGCGCTGGAACCTCAGCGGTTGTGATTTCACAAGTAAGACGTGGCGTTTGCTTAATGTGTTGGTTTTGGTGGGTACTTTCAAGTAAGCCTCACGTACCTTGTGGCTGTCATCAACCCCTCCTCACCTGAGGGTGCGAAGTTTGTCGGAGCAAACATTACTGGCGCCAATCTGTCCCACGCGAATCTGACCCAGGCGGACTTCACTAGAGTGTGCCTGGAACGAGCAAACCTGGAGGGTGCAACTTTGTCGCAAGCATCATTTGGACCAGTTACCTCCGGTAAGTCGTGTTCCGCCTGCACCAAGTCCTGCCTCTTCCTGTAACGTCGCTCGCCTGTCTCTCTCTGTCTCTCCCCTCTGCCTCTCCGACTCCCTTACCCACTGCACCTTGTCCCGCTGTGTTCCCCTGTTTCCCCCCTTCTCGCCCTTCGAGGCACCGTATTGCTCTGGATGTTCTTTGTTCTCCTAATGTTCTGATGTCATGTTTAGTCTGATTGACGTCATGTTTAACTCGTGAGTGTCGTATAGTAGCGTTTGCCTGTGTCGCGTCACGCCGTGCCCAGTGCCTCGGAACCGCTTGCCTCTCGGCGGCGATCCCGAGCCCTTGGCACGGTACCGTCATCAACTAAGATGACGGCACGACACATGCCTGCATGCTGTGTTACGTCTGTTGCCCTTGTCTCTTGTTTTCCCCCTTGCTTAACCACAAGCACCCCTCTTGTTGCCTGCTAGCACGTGTGTGTTGCCCTGCACCCTGTTGTCGCTTATCTCACGTGATTGTCTGTGCCTTGTTCAGTTCTTTTGTTCCCTGGTTTACTTCGCATCAGTACACAGAACAAGCCACCGACACACCTCGACCACAGTCCCGTCACACTTCCCGTTCCGCGCCTCATCACAGTTGTCTTTCCATCACAATAGACATGTACGGACGCACAACACGCGACTCCAAAGCCAACCTGAAGCACGCCAACCTCAACAATGCCGAGTTGATTTCCGTTGACCTTCGCAACGTCAACTACGAAGGCGCAACATTCGACGGAGCAGACCTGACAAATGCGCGCGTCGAACGTGCCCGCAATTCACGCCATTCTGCGCATGGCTCCGTGCCCGAGCAATTTGCCAAGGCCAAAACCACCGACACGCAATGGACGTATTCTCGGCACTATTGACACCCGCCCTCACCCGCCATTTACTGTTTTTCCATGTCACCCACATCATCCTCACACCGACCACAAAACGAGCCACACCTCTTCCACTCCCCAAATCTCTTCATGAGATCTGTCGGTGAATGCTCCGGCGACGACAACAACGTGTCCTCCTTGCAGGCAACATCCGCTCCAAAGCACTGCCATCGCCCATCCTGTGTGTGTGTGTGTGTGTGTGTGTGTGTTTCAGTGAGTGTCATCACGCTCAGCTGTTTTCCTTCCTTCTTTCCTTCCTTCCTTCCTTTGTTCCGTCTTGGGTTTTGCTTCCCAATCCCAGCCCTTCCTGCACGTTGCAGCCGTGTTCCTCTCCTCCTGCGCACTTTCATTCCCCAGACCCCCCCCCCCCGGCGCTTTCCACGTTTGCGTTGCCTCCCAATACACCAACCCTTGTCAACGCCAGCGCCAACCCCTCCACCCCCTTCCAACCCCAACGCCAACGCCACCACATCTCACCTGCACAATGGTTGGCGTGACTGCCTGCAGCCAGATGCCAAGCGACACGTCCTCGCCTTGAAAGTCGTGCAGTCCCCCCGCGCTCTGCGCCAGCCACACCGCCAAGTCACCAGACACGACGCTGCCAGACCCACACGCAAACGGCGGATACACCCGACCTGATTGCATGTGTGTGTGTGTGTGTGTGAATGAGGGAGACACTGTTCGCAACACGCGAAGCGCCCACTTTGCTTCCCTTTGCAGCACCACATTCACAAGTTGCCTCTCTGCATGCCACCAACCTGGAAAGTGGGATTCTGCCCATTTCCCTGTTCGTTCCACGGGCCAATCACACCGAAACGAGCCCCACCACAGCCTGTGCACGCAGCAGCAAAGCAAAAAACAACATGAGCAACGCACCCCGCCAACCACGAGCAACAGCAATACTCAGCACCAGCATTTCGTCTGGCACTCTGACTCACTTTGATGTTGCAGTAACCTCTTTCTTTTCCAGCTGTGCGACAATCCTGCCAAAACCCGACCAACCACACGTGAGCCGACTGTGACGTCAAAAAATTCATGAGCACGTGCACACATCGTCTCACTCCTCGTACTGACTCTGGGATGTTGAGGAAGGTGTCGTCGTCTGTCTTGAGCACAAACTGAGCGCCAGCAGCGCTTGCATACGTGTACACGCCCAACAGCTTCCGTGGCAGGGACCTGTGAATGTGTGTGTGTGTGTGTGTATGTGCGTGTGTGTGTGTGTGTGTGTGTGTGTGTGTGTGTGTGTGTGTGTGTGTACAGGTTGGGGTGAGAAAGCGTGCAGCTGATGCAGGTACAGCACCGCATGCTTGCAAGCAAGTGTAAGACGCATTCCGTGACTCAAGGTCCCACTTCTCGCACGAACACGCACGCACACCTGTATGTGTCTTGAAGATGTGGGACAACAACCACATCCCCATGCTCGCGCATCTCCTGCTTGATGGCTTTTGCTTCGCGCTCGAGCACTTTGTTATATTTCTGCAGCCGTTCAAATCTGGAAGCCCGCAGCTTTTCCAGCGTCTGCATAGTGAGTGAGTGAGTGTGAGTGAGTGTGCGTGCGTGCGCGCGTGTGTGTGTGTGGGTGGGTGAGTGAGTGTGCGTGTGTGTGTGTGTGTGTGTGTGTGTGTGTGGGTGGGTGGGTGTGATGTTTATGTGAGTGTGTGTGTGTACGTGTGTGAACGCACAGGCGTGCGACGAGACACGCTATTACATCGGCCATTCTCCACCCTCACGGTCGCCGAAACGCCAGCACACACATACACACACAAACACATACACGCACACACAAACATACACACATACACGCACACACATACATGCACAAACACCTCGCGCATGTCGACGGGTGCAGATACATTCACTTCCATCTGCAGCAATGAGCAAGCGTGAGGGCAGGCCATCATGACGTGAACAAGGCTGACATCCACGCAACGCAAGCCACCCCCGCCCCCACTGTAACACACATTCTGTATTCACACACCTTCATTCCCGTGGCACATCTGTCCCTGCTGATGAAGAAGTGCGACCCCTCATCCAGGTCTGAAAGCATGGCAACGTGCTGCCCACGCGAGGCTTGTGGAGTCCAGTCCTTGACAACGGTCCTCGCGTTGCACTCCTGCATCTGCGTTCGTGTGGCTGTGTGTGCGTGTGCGTGCGTGCGTGCGTGTGTGTGTGCGTGCGTGTGTGTGTGTGTGTGTGTGTGTGTGTGTGTGTGTGTGGCAGACAGACACACAGGCACACAGACACACACAGACACGCAGACAAGTACCCGTGAGTGGCATATGTGTGGTGAGAACAAAACCTACTCGCTCGCTCACAACCAGCACACACGCGGTCGCAACTCACCAACTTCCAGTAGGGATGTGTTGACTTCGAACACGAGCTTGAGCGCGTCACGCGACGTGAGGTGGATGACCGGATACGACACGTGATCCTGCGACATTCAATTGGAAGCAGTCGTGGCGCAGTGGAAGGTGTCGTGAGGTGAGGCCAAACACACACACACACACACACACACACACACACACACACACACAGAGTCAGCTCACCTTCCAGGGAAGTGAGAAGACAGAGGCGGGTGCCACACGCTCAGAGCGAAACGCGAACGTGCCAGCAGCAAACTTGAACCGATCCTGAAATGTGTAGAGGGCGAAGAAAGACGTGTGAGCGACGCACACACACACACACACATATGCACACACACACATCACACCAAACACACACATACACTTCCAGCCCACGACCTGAGAGAGGGTGTTGATGGTGTCTGGAAACGCGTGCTCGGTTGTCGCTGTTCTGCTGACGGGCAGCCACTCGATAATGCCACCGGCATCGTTCACGCGTGCGATGGAGGACGCGCGCGTGTGCAAGGGCTCGTCGGCGCCATATCCTTCAGCCGTCACCGTGAACGTCGTGTCCTTCGTCAACACCACCCCTTTCACGTCAACATATCTAGCATGTTTGAGCGTGTTTGAGCGTATGGGCGTGTGAGGGTATGTGGGCGTGAAAGGACAACACTATCAACGCAGCTGCTGCACCAACAAGCCGAAACACACACACACATACGTACACACCTTGCTCCACCGCGCAGCGTGCCTTCGGTGCCTGTGATGGTGCGGGACACCACGGGTGTTTGGCGAATTGTATCCCAGATCGTGACAGTAACGGCTGTACACGGGATGAAAGATGAGCGAGGAGAGTGTGTTATCGACACAGCAAAACACGCACCCGCACGAGGACAATAACAACCCAACAGCGCGGCCCTTTCTTCCGCTCTCGGTGATCGCTTTCACTCACGAGTCTTGAGGCCGTCGCTGCCGCTGTCAAAGGCACCGAGTCGGGTGATGGTGATGGGGTGGTGTGCGCGAAAGTCCATGCCGACCACGGTCCCTGTTGTTCCTTTGACGTCGTTGCCCTCCAGGTCACGCGGGATGTCATGGGCAAACACCTCACGATCAAACACTGCAGAAGGGAGACGTGTGTGCGTGAGTGTGAGAGTGTGTGTATGTGTGTGCGCGAGTGTGCGTGTGTGTGTGTGTGGATGCTTTTGTGTGTGTGTGTGTGTGGATGCTTTTGTATGTGTGTGTGTGTGTGCTTTTTGTGTGTGCGATTGCAGTTGCAGGTGTGCTCACCTGGATTCTTCATGGGCTGGGGCTCACATCCATACCTGCAGCAAAAAGGTGCACGGAGGGCTGGCATGAGTACACACACACACACACACACACACACACACACACACACACACACACACACACACACACACACACACACACACACACACACACACACAAAACACAACACGCACGGGTCTGCGCGATCTTCTGGTGGGATGGGGCAAGACGACGCTCCAACAAAGAACCGCAGCTCAATCCTGCCATGTGCCAGCGCATGCATGCAAGCACAACATTTAAAGTGAGAACGGCTCAAACACGTATGCAGCAGTGCACAGAGCGACATCAAAGCCACATCAAAGGACGTACGGAAATGGATGTGGATGACGGTTGGTAAAGGCCGACAGGAGGGAGCCCCACGTGGCCCGCTGTGCATGGCGGGCTGTTGCATGGCCACGGGCGGAAAGCACACCGATTAGCAGCTTTGGCTTGCTGGCAGGCACCAAACACACACACCACACAGTCCAAACACAACAGGTGTGAGACGCCATTGTGCACACAAGAGCAACAAACATGCGCCACGCACGCATTCGCAAACGACCTTGGCTGCACGATATGGAACTGGTGTCGTGCCCACAATCGAACCATCTGCATGCATGCACAGTGTGTGAGTGAACATATGGTGCGGTGAGTGCAAACTGAATGAGTGGATGAACACACAAAGCAGTGAGCAGGTGAGTGCATGAGGTAGAGCATAGCGATGAACGCCACCAGCCCTCACCACACCCAGACACACGAGAACAAACGCCTGTTGATCACCACCTGCTCCAGCTTTGGCAGCACGGGAATGGATCCTGGGAGCACCATCTCCTCCTGTTTATCCTGGTCCTTCACCTAGTCAACACGCACATCATGTCAAATCACAGTGCCAGTCACGAGCAACAGCAACCAAAACCACACACACACACACACTCACTCACACACACACACTCACACACTCACTCACACACGACCAACCTGTCGGAGGACGTTGCCTGGACGCACGTCCCCTTCTTTAATAAATACGAGATCTTGCGGCGGATGCTGGCGGCCTCCCACGTGCGAGGCGAGATCAGCAGGATCAGGTGGTTGCCAGCTCAAGCCATGGTGGCTCAGCCACAGGGACCATGCCACGACGCACACGCTGCCCAGCACCAGCGCAGCAACCAGTCCCCACACCAGCACCACCCGCAGCGTGCTTCTGTTACCCCAACTGCTGCTGTTGCTGCTGCGTCCCCAGCGCTTTGGCCCTTTGCCATCCACACCCACGCCTTCTTCCTCTTCTTCTTCTCCATCCCATTCCCAGCGCCACCCAGGCCCTCGCGCATCCCATCCACGCTCTCGCGACGGCATCGTCGCGGTCGATGCGCGCACACGCACTCCTCCACGACGAGCAGTTTGCATCGTCTTCCACGTCCGCCGCAAAACGTTACTGTTGGGAGGATTACCAAAAGACACCATGCAATTTTCGCCTGCCTGCAAGCAAAGCAGAAGGCAGCAAGAAGCACAAGCAGAAGGGCGTTGGCTGCATCCAACCCAGCAACAACAACAACAACAACAACAACAACACCACCTCGCAACATGACGGTGTGGCTGCATGGGGTGATCAGCCGCACGGAGGCGCAGAAACGGCTCTCTTCCTCGGAGCACGTGGATGACTCTGGTACCGTGCTTGACGGCACCTTTCTCGTGCGCAGGAAACCGCAATCAGGGGTAATGTAATGTAACACGCCTGGATTGTGGGTGTGGTATCAATGTCTGCCTGGTTATGAGTTGTGTTTGTGGTCACAAGCACACACACACACACACACACACGCACACGCACCGTGCTGACTGTGCTTGCGCTTGGCATTGACAGGGGTATGTGGTGAGCGTGATTTACAAAGGACAAGACACGCACCACCTTGTCCGACTGCATGGCGCACGCTCCTTCATCATCAACAACAACCCAAATGTCAGTGTGTGCGTGTGCGTGTGTGTGTGTCTGCGTGCTTGCCTCTTGTGTGTGTGTGTGTGTGTGTGTGTGTGTGTGTGTGTGTGTGTGTGTGTGTGACTGCATTTGATCTTCTAGGCACCTCTACGCGTGCGTGCCATGGATTGAAAGTTCACTCATTATTGTTGATCTCTTTTGCTTCACTGCACAGTTAATCGTGGAGGGGACGTCCATCAAGGACGTCATTGACTTCTTGTCCCAGCCAGACAGCTTGCAGGGCTGGCCAGTCCAACTCAAGTACCCAGTCCCCGCCCCAAAGCCGGAAGGTAAAATGGGTCGGACCGCTGCTGTTTGTGTGCATATCGCTGTGTGCGTGCACCACGGGAGCCAGATGCTGGTCTTGCTGTGAATGCCTATGTTGGTGTATCTGTTTTGTTGTCGCGTGTCGCGCCCTGTTGACAGCTTGGTTGCACTGATCGTGTGTGCATCCTTTTCCACATTTGCTTGCTTTGCAGATGCGTTTGAGAGGCACGTTGACAAGGTGAACCAGCCAGAGATCAGCGATCGCGTGGACATCCCCAGGCAGCGTGTGAGCGGCCGCACCAGCGATGGCAGCAACGACGCGCTTACAAATCCTCGTCCTCAATCGCCACAGCAGCAGTCGCATACAGCGAGCACGCACGCCGACAGCAGTGAGCAAGCAGATGCACCCGCGCAACAACCGGCGCCACCGCCACCACCTCCGCAATTCCAACAACAAAGCGAACCACAGGCAAACAAGGAGGAGGAGGAACAAAACGACGACCGACAACAACAACAACAACAACAACAACAACAACAACAACAACAACAACAACAACAACAACAACAACAACAACAACAACAACAACAACAAGAGGGAGATGAGGAGGAGGATGTCTTCTTTCGAGAAGAGCCGGCGTCTCGCCGAAAGTATCGAAAGCCACGACGTAAGACTTGCAACAGCGCATTCCGCTGACACACACGCATGCACTCACCGGCACGCACACTCGCACTTACACACACACACACACACACATACATTCTCTCTCTCACACATACACACACACTCTCTCTCACTCACACACTCACTTACTGACACACGCACTCCCATCGTTTGCATGGCAGGTCGGCTGAGCGAGCTGGAGGCTGCCATCAAGATCCAGTCGATGGTGCGCATGCATCAGACGCGGCGACGCGCGTCCGAGCACCGCGAGCTCACCATCCACGCCGTTGTTGTCGTGCAGGCTGTCACGAAAGGGTTCCTCACGCGCCAGAAGATCAAGACAGGCCGGATTGACGTGCGCCGCCCGTGGCTCCACGGACACATCTCCCGTGCCGAGGCCGAGAGTGAGTGGCCACGAGACACCACAAAAATAACTCCTCCACCTACCTCATGTGTGTGCATGTGTGTGTGGTGAAGTGCAAAAAAGGAGCAACTTGAACGACCCGACCCATCGACCTAATGACACACGTTTCCCGTTTGCATGCCCGCTCATTCCTTGCCGATGATCGTTGCCGTCATCCCTGTTCCTGTTCATCAGTGCGCATGGCTGACAGCCCTGGTGGCGCCACGGAGGGCAAGTATCTGGTCCGCCCGCGCCCGAGGCGACCCGGCGAATACGTCCTCCTCCTGTGAGCTCAATTCGATGTGTGTGTGTGTGTGTGTGTGTGTGTGTGCGTGTGTGTGTGTGTGTGTGTGTGTGTGTGTGTGTGTGTGTGTGTGTGTGTGTGTGTGTGTGTGTGTGTGTGTGTGTGTGTGTGTGTGTGTGTGTGTGCGTGTGTGTGCGTGCGTGCGTGCGTGTGTGGTTTCAATCAATTTCATGTTGCGTTCATCTCTCACAATTCCTTGCCTCGTGTCCGATATGAACCTGCCAGCGTCTGCAACGGCAAGTACACCCATCACCTGATCCAGCCAAGCCCAAACCATGACATCTTCTTCATCAACAAGCACAACTTCGGGCCGTTCAGAACACTCGGTGAGCCATGTAATCACAATTTAATTCCAATATTGCTTGCATGCATGTGTCACACCGCAACCCTTTCGCCAGCTCATGCCAGAGTGCTGTTTGTTCTTCCACACCGACAGACGACGTCATCTATGCTTTGCGGGACATGGATGAAATTGAAGGCTGGCCCGTGCCTCTCAAGGAATACGTCAAGGTGTGTGTGTGTGTGTGTGTGTGTGTGTGTGTGTGTGTGTGTGTGTGTGTGTGTGTGTGTGTGTGTGTGGGTGTGTGTGTATGTGTATGTGTGGGTGTGGGTGTTTCACACACGTTGCCTGCCAGACTTTCACACCTTCATGTGTCTGCGCCAACATGCTCACGCGTTTACGCTGCTTCGTCCCCTGGTCAGGTCCCACAAGATGAAGTGCAGGACACAACACATCTGGTCGCCGGCAGAGTCCTGCGCAACCACCGGCTGCTGCCAATCAGCACCGAGCTCAACGGCACCCCGCAGGTGACTTGCCTGCATGCACATGTGTTGGTTTGTGTTGCAGAGGTCTTGTTTTGGTTTGCTGTTACTTCCACCCCTTCCTCTTCCTTTCTTCCTCCCACCCTTCCTCCCTTCCTCCCTTCCTCCCTTCCACCCTTCCACCCTTCCACCCTTCCTCCCTTCCTTCCTTCACGACCTGGATGGCTTGTACGCTTTCGTTCGTCACTCTTGAACCTTACCGCAGGCTGATGATGAAGACAACAATGACGAAGAAGGACAACAGCAGCACCGGCAGTCACCAGCAGATGGTCAATCTTCAGTTCCACAGCCCATGAGCGCCGAGGTGTCCGTCATTGCTGATCGCTACATGCAGCCACTTCAGCCTCGCACCAGGTGAGTGCGGGGCAGTATACAACACAGCGTGGTACATGTATGGTGTTTGGAGCAGATATGGAGACACGTTGGTGGCACAACAGCAGCCCCTCATCACTGCTTCTCTGTTGATAGCAATCATGCTCATCCCCTCCCCCTTGCGTGTGTGTCAATCAGGTGGAAATGTGGCGCGTGCGGCAGCTACAACGCACTCGATGACAACGATGACTCAACGCAGCAGCGACAATGCTCGGTGTGTTTTGAGTGTGCGAGTGGTCGTACCATTCTATGTGTATGCGCCTGCGTGTGTATTCGAGTTTGTGAAGTTCATCGACACGCACGAGCCCCAGCTGATTGAGTGTTCACATTTCTGATGGCTTGCTTGCAGGTGTGTCATACCGTGAGAGCAAGTAAGCGACAAAACCCGCAAGCAGCAGCCTCGTAAGTGCACGTATCACACGTCCATGTGCATCTGTGCTTGCTCGCCTGCGGTCATGTGCTTTCAGTTGCAGTGCAGCGGCTAGGCGGCTTCAATGGCCTTTCCCCGTGCTGTGCCTGCCTGACCTGCTTTGTACACCACCATTGCAGGCAATCGACGGAAGCAGCCAACACAACAACAACAACAACCAGCACAAATAACAATCAAGAGGAGCAGAAGCCCATCGACCCAATCAAGCAGCAGGTGTGTGTGTGTGTGTGTGTGTGTGTGTGTGTGTGTGTGTTTGTATGCGTTTGTATGCGGGCGTTTGTCCACACAAGTGCCGTGTAGCTTCAACGTATACCCACCCTCACACGACTGCAGGCCCGGGAGGACCTGTCGGCGCTATTGCGTCAGCTGCCGGCAGACTATCGCGTCCAGATTGCGCAATCACTGCAGCTCTTCCTTGCAAGGGGCGCAGATCTTGGTGCGCTTTTTTTTTTTTTTGAGCCAAAGTGATCATGCTTGCTTGCTTGGAATGCTCTGATGTTGTCATGTGTGTTGTGTCGTCTTTATCAGCGATATCACCATCATCGATACCAGGGATTGTAGGATCATCCATTTTACGCACGCCAAACTGTCAGAACACACACCTTTCGTGTCATTTTTTTCACCAGCTCACCAGCTCACCTGCTTCGTCGGTATTCCGCTACTCCGCAACAACAGGCGTCACTGTCACGAACATTTCGCTCGTCTTGCAGAAGATTGACTCGGCCACACGCGCAGCCATAGAGCGGAGCATCGGTAACACGCGTGTCTGCGCTTGCCTGTGCGTGTGTGTGCGTGTGTTCATGTGTGGATTCCTATTTGTTTGTGCGTGTGGCTGCTTGTTTCCCCGTCCTCCTTCTACTGTTCTTTCCTTCCTTCGTGTAGAACACGTGCCTGCAGGCAAGACTTTGCATTCACACGCTGCTGCTGCTGCTGCTGCTGCTGCTTGGCAGGCATCCTGCTGCCTGAACATGCGCGTGCTGAGTACGACGTTCTGCTGCGACGCGCACGGAAGGAGGAGCACCTTCAGATGCTCATCCGTCAGACCTCCGATGAGGAATACGATGTTCTTCGTCGTCTCGTTGTGCACGGCATTGCGAAATGGCGCCAACACAAGCAGCACCAAGAGTCCGCCTTCGAACGCATCGTGAACGACGCAAGGTGTGTATGTGTGTGCGTGGGTGTGCGCGTGTGCATGTGCGTGCGCGCGTCTGTGTGTCTGTGTGTGTATGTGTATGTGTGTTTGTGTGTGTGCCCTTTCATCGTTGCTATGCAGCGCCCCGGACCTGACTCCAAAGTCATTGTACGCGCGCTGAACGTGCATTGCTCCTGTGTGCTTGAGCAGTGTGCGGCGCGGGTGGGCGGCCATTCGCTGGCAAGCAGACGACCCAAGGTACAATTGCATGCCGCACATGTTTACACGAGTTGCACGCCTGCTTGCTGACACCGTTGCGCCATCATGTGAGTGGCTGCCTTTGTTGCCTTGGTTCGCCTGTCTAGTTCATCAACACAAAACATGTGTTTTGTTGCAGCCTGACGTACTTTGACGTTGAGCTTGTGGCACGGGAGGTGCACGTCGGCTGGGCACGCGCCGTCCGAACGGTGAGCAGAGAAGTGCTGTCACTGCGTGATGTGGAAGTGATTGCGTTGGTGTGCGTGTCGGAGCGTGGTGTTGCTGCGTCCAGTGCATTCACCCCTCAGTCTCACTCGTTTTTCTGCTTTACTTGAGCTAGTTGTGGGATCCTCAGCTGTACGGCGAGCCTGCACGCAATCCTCTGCGCCTCACGCCACAGGTAAGCGCTATTTGTGCTTGAGTGGTGTGTGTGTGTGTGTGTGTGCTGGTGTGTGTGTGTGTGCTGGTGTGTGTGTGCTGGTATGTGGCTGTTGCTTTCGGTGCTTCCCATCTTCTCACGAGGAGCTTGTGCGCTCCTGTGTAGGGTTTGCTGGACAGTTCCAACTTTCAAAAGGCAATGCTCTTCCGTGCATACCAGGCAAGCAGTGTTGGGAGCAAGCGTGTCAACGTGGTGACTTGCTTGCCGTACTGTGGCTGCATCTGCACTTCGACAGTCTTGCTGGCAAGCTTACTCACAAACACACGAATTCACGCACATGTGTCTCGCACGCACATTCCCTCCCACGCGCACACGTGCCATCACCACGATCAGAACCGGATGGGGCTGGCTGCGCGCCCGTATGTGGTGGACGAGTCTGTTGCGTCGCTGGAAAAAGGGTCCGCACCCCCGATTGACGAGCGCATGAAGTTTGGGTATCGAGTGGCGGCGGAGATTCTCATCAACGCGTTTCGCTCCCGGTTTGAGGAAGCGTGCAGGGGCATTGCCACCTTACGCGTAGACCACGACCGTTGGAAGGAGGTCAGCGCAGGAAAGGGAGGCTGCTTCGTGCGTGTGTGTGTGACTGTGTGACTGTGTGTGTGTGTGTGTGTGCACTTTGCTGGTGTATGTGTGTGTATGTGCACTTTGCTGGTGGTGTTGTTGCAGCAACCAAGTCACTTGCACGTTTGCTTTGTGTGCAGATCCTGGACCGTGGAGTGATCCGCCACCCGCGTCGTGATGAGCTCTTGTCTCCGCCGCAATCACGCGTGCATGGACCGCGGACATCGAGCCCACAACCAGGTGTGTTTTGCAGCTCGAAAGAGAGTGTGGAGGGGTGAGTGCGCTTGCCTGCACGCACAAGAGGAAGACACACCCCCACCTCTTCACATGTTCACACTCACTCACTCACTCTCTCACTCTCACTCTCACTCTCTCTCACTCTCTCTCTCGCTCTCGCTCTCACTCTCACTCGCTCACTCTCACCCACTCACTCTCACCCACTCACTCACACACACTCGCTGACTCACACACCTCTCCAAAGGTCCTCCGTCGTACGATGCTGAGATGGGCCGCGACGGCAACGCAAACAACATGTTCACACGACCAAATCCGCCAGACTTTGGCTTCATGTTCTGAACGGGTCCTTTGTGGTTACATCGATTGAACTCATGCAGTGATTGTGTGTTTGAGAGATGACGACAGCGACATCGTTGATGATGGAAATAACAGAAGAATGAACCACGCACTCATCGGGCAAGAAGAAGAGACGAATGAGACGATGGCAAGTGCGCTCATGCACGCAAGTGTCACACAGGCTGCGAAGGTGCCGTCGATTGTTGAGCATGTTTTCCAATACATTTCTACAAACAAGACAAACGACGATGGAGGACAAGACAACAAAAGCAGCAACTGCCACCACTGCCGCTCCTGCCACTGCTGGTGGTGGTGGGTTGGCCGCGTTTTGCAGGCTGCAGCGAGCGCTGAAGCGGGAACAGTTGTTCATTCGAGCAGAACGTGTCGCCATCTCAGAGCTGGAAGAGGACCTCTCCGACCTGTGCGAGGTGCGTGATGTGTGTGATATGTGTGTGTGTGTGTGTGTGTGTGAGTGTGTGTGTGTGTGGGCACGTCAAGACATCAGCAGTCCTCACCTCTACAGCGCCTGTGTGTCATGATCAACCTCCTCACTGTGCGTGTGGTGCTTGCAGCGCAATTTCCGCGAGTATGTGGTGTATGCCTCGGCCTGCCAGGCCGTTTCTGACCATTTGGCGGGCTTCAGCCCCTTGGGTACCTGCTCCGCGTTTCTGCAACAGCGATCCCACTTTGTGCGTAGCCGAGCGCGCGCGTGTGTGTGTGTGTGCGTGTGTGTGTGTGTGCGTGTGCGTGTGTATGTGTGTGTGTGTGTGTGTGTGTGTCTGTGTGTCTGTGTGTCTGTGTGTCTGTGCATTTCAAAATCGCCTTCAACTCACGATATGAATCACGCACCACTACACTCGTTCCGCAGCCCCGCCGCGTGCGCGATGCTCGCAAGTGTTTCAAGTCCGAGGAGGCGTTTGCGGACTCGCAGTTTGTTCTCAAATTCCTGTACAAGCGCCCACACATGCTGGCCACCTGCTTTCTTGGAGTAAGACCCATTGTGCATGTGCATGCGCATTCGTGTGTGTGTGTGTGTGTGTGTGTGTGTGTGTGTGTGTGTGTGTGTGTGCGTGTCTTGGTTTTGTGTGCAGCCCGTTCACACGCAAACGTACACTGCACTGCGCTAGAACACGCGAGCAACACGACGGCTCTCTGTGCGCCGTGCGGATTCCCTGCTGCGTATTGTGATGCACGGGCTGTACCCAGCATCCACCCATCAGGAGCACCGCACCGCATTTCTCAGGCAGCTCACCACCCACCGCTTGGAGGTGCGTGTGTCTGTCTGTCTATCTGTCTGTCTGTGTGTGCAGCATGAGAACGCTGATGGGAACACACTTCGCCCTGGCTACATATTGGACACCTGGCCATCACACAGCCTCACCTCCCCTCACTCATCTTCCATCCACTGCCCACCGCTCACCGCCGTCGTGGTGCAGGTTGCGTTTGGAAAGCAGGACGCGCCCAGCAACCCGTTCCTTGACCAGTCCATCCTGACACGTGCGCTGCAGCTGATGGCCAGCGACCTCCTTGATCCCCTCGGGCAATATCTCGCGCTCACCGCTCACCGCCTTCGGCGCATCGTTCTCTTTGCTCCACACCTCGACCCAGCATCCCTCGCCTCCCTTCCTCTCAGGTTTGCACACGTTTGTGTGTGTGTCTGTGTGTGTGTGTCTGTGCATCTGTCTGTGTGTGTCTGTGTGTGTGTATGTGCCTGTGTGTGTGTGTCTGTCTGTCTGTGCCTGTGTGTGTACCAATGCGACTCTGAGTTGTGTCACATTCACCCGTCACCACACTTCCTTACAGCGCCGCGCTGGAGCAGCCCATGCGACAACTCCTCTCCAACGTATGCGTCGTGTATTGTGTGTTGCGTGTGACGTTTTTGTGCAATGGCCAGGCGCTCCTTCCAACACACGTCTCTCGCGCGTTACTCATTAGTCATCCTGCTATTGTAGGCCGTCCAATGCATTCTTGACACACGGGATCAGGTTCCATCCTCCCTCCGGTGGGACAACACCTGCTGCTGCTTCTGCTGCTTGCTGTAATTTATGTTTCTCGCGTGTGCTGCACACTGGTTGCAACAGGCACAACCACCTCGCACCTTACCATGACACCTCTCCTGATCCTCGCTGCTGTTCACTGCGATTGTCGATGTGCCCAGAGCGGTGTTTGACCAAACCATCAAGGCCTTTGCTGTCCGCAGTGTTCCGCCGCGCCCAAATCTCGCCATGCTCTTCATCGTGCGGTTCGTGCACTGTGTGTGTGTATATGTGCGTGCGTGTGTGTGTCTGTGTGTGTATGTGTCTGTGTGTCTGTGTGTCTGTGTGTGTGTGTGTGTGTGTGGTTTCGTGTGGCTGTGGAAACGGCAGAAGAGATCAACAGAGCCGATATTTCATTGTGTTCTCACTTTGTTGTGTTCTCACTTCGTTCCTGGCACCACGCCTCGTACCATATTCTGTTCCAGGCTGATTGCTCCGGCCTGTCACTCGTTCAGTCCCGTGCGCGAGAAGACGCCTGCGCTTACACCTGTGCAGAGGTAGCGCAACCGTTTGTCGTGCCGTTGTTGGATGCTATTCCTGTGCGGTTGATCAACCACGTTCACGTGCTCTACTGTCTCACCTCACCTCACACACAGCCCCGCCTCACACACACATACACACGCACACACACACACACACACACACACACACACACACACACACACACACACACACACACACACACACACACACACACACACACACACACACACACACGCCAGGCGAGCGCTTGTTGTGGCCACCGCATGCATTTCGTGCGTGTTTGGTTACAGCCCGCCTTGCTCCGCACACCTCCCAGCCACCGTCATTTCAAGGTTGTAGTTTTCCTCGCTCGCATGCACGGCCTCTCTTCTCCCCATGTGCTCATGTGCCGTGCAGTTCGTTGCTGCTACCCCTCCCCCAACATCTAACATCATTATCGACAACAACCACCCGTCATCATCACCACTTGCAGTGTTCGCGAAACGTTTGCGCAGGAGATTGATGCATTCTTTGGTATCCTACCACCACCATCATCGCCATCGGTACCAATGACGACGGCAGAGTCGCAAGCATCAGAGCAGCCATCACCTGATCCCTCAGCTGATCCAACACAGCACTCATCACCAACGCCCTCAGCTGATCCAACACAGCATTCTGCGCCAGGCAAGGGCGATGGCAATGCTGCCAGCAGCAGCAGCGGATACAGCCATGTCCCCAGCAGTGATGCTGCTGTTTCAACGCCGATGCTGGACCGACCACACACTGTTCTCTTCTCCAACGCGTCCTTCATCAACTTTCTCGTGCGTAGCGGCCCACACATGTTGCAGTCGCTGTTACGGGGAACTGTGCAGCACTTGTGCTCACCCACCCACCCACACACACTCACTCACTCACTCACTCACTCACTCACTCACTCACACACACACACTCACTCACACACACACACTCACTCAATCACACACACACACACACACACACACATTCACTCACTCACTCACACGCACACTCACTCACTGACTGACTCACTCACTCACACACACACACACTCACTCACTCACACATACATGCAGGCGTTTGTGCAGCACGGCCTGCCGACCATCATGGAGGCGCACAAATCGAGCGCACAGCAGCTGGTGCGACCCGTCGACCGATTGGATGCGCACGCAGACGGCGTTCTCATCTGGGCAGGAGCGGATGCGGGCAGCGGCGGTGCGCAGCCGGGCTCAACATCAATGACCCCACCGTCATCATCCTCATCGTCGTCCTCATCGTCAACACGTGCGTGTACTTTGGAGCAATTGCAGATCTGAGGATCACCGCACGTGTGTGTCGAGAGGAACATGCATGAGCACATACGTGACAATGGTTCACCTGCAACACTCTCACCCCATACACGCACGCACACACACACACACACACACACACACACACACACACACTCACACACAAACACACACACACACACACGCCCATATATGCAGACTTCGTTCTCCGCCTGGGAGAGGCGAGTTGGCCACCGCTCCTGTCGCCGGCGCGCGTCAATGCAGTGAAACACACGCGCACGTGTGACGATGCAGCTGTGTTACGAACAGCGCGCTCCCTCGCGTCGCTGCTGCCAAAGCTGCAGCCCCTTCAACGCACCGGCACCGCAGACCAACGCAAGGGTGTGTGTCTGTGCATGTGTGCCTGTGTCTGTGTCTGTGTGTGCATGTGTGCGTGTGCGTTGCTTTGGTTGTGCCTGTGCATGTGAGCACGCAGGGTTTGTGCTGCTCTGTAGATGCGCGCTCACCTCCACCCACCTGCACTTCATTTGCCATCACGTCACTGCAATCACGCCAGCCCTGGCATCGGCCCTGGTGCGTGCGGGCGCTGCCAGCGACATTGAGGACGATGACGATGTGCTGTTGCGGCAAGTGGCGGTGTGGATTGAGCAGCTCTCCTGCGAGCAGTTGGATCTTGTCTTTCGCTCCATTTTCGACGACTACTCGGGCAGGAAGGTCCGGTTTGGAGTGAAGTGGAGGCTTTATGCGTGCATCGAAACCATATGTGTGTACGGTGTGTCTGTGTGTGTATGTGTGTCTGTGGGTGTATGTGTGTCTGTGGGTGTATGTGTGTCTGTGGGTGTGGGTGTGTGTGTGCTTGCGTGTGCGTGTGTATGTGTGAGTTGTGGGTCAGCCCCCTTTTCTGCTATGCACCAACAACTGCTCATCTGCCCGTTTCTTCCTTCCTCGTTTTACATTCACACGCGCGTGCATGCCCAGGCGTACATTGTGCACGTGTGCGACACGAAGCAAGACAGGCTGCAGACATTTGAGCGCTTGGTGGAGGAAAGCGAGCGCCTCTGTGGCGCACGCGCGAAATACGAAATGGTGCGGATGTGCATGTGTAAATGTGTGTGCGTGTGTGTGTGTGTGTGTGGGTGGGTGGGTGTGTGTGCGCGCGCGTGTGTGTGTGTGAAAGTGTGCGTGCGTGTGCATGTGTAAATGTGTGTGTGTGTGTGTGTCAGCGCCTCCACACAATTGTCATGCAACTGTGCCATGTAACAGCAACGATGCGACAACTTACACGCTCACACACTCACACACTGACACACACACACATGCAGATGTTGATGGATGCGCTGCTGCGCGATTCCATGACATACGCGCACCGTCGCATTCTCCCGGGCAGCGTCGCAAGTTTTCTTCACAGCGCAGAGGAGAACCGGTCCGCAATTGCCATTCAGTTCTACTCGCACGTAACCGACCACCTCAACAGCAAGGCGTGCGCGTGGGGGAAGCACTTGAACGAGACCCGAACAGAGCACGTTGCGTGCCACTGCGAGCGCTACCTGTACAGCCTCATCTTCCCACACGTTGTCGCCCAGCTCACCAGCAACGCCCGCATCACGGTGATGCTGCGCGCCGCACACCCACCATGCGATCCTTGACATGAAACTGAGTATGATGGACGTGTGGTGTGCACGCGCACGTGCATTGCGCTTGCTGCTTTCCGAGTGAGCGATGCAGCGGCACTGGCCTTGCTAATGTTGCTGCTGTTGCCCATTTCATCATCGGTGGGGTGGTGCTCGTGCAGAAGTACCAGCGCCTCTTGGAGTCGAGCCGCGAGTCAATTGACGCGTCGCATCCGCTCCTGCAGGTCCTGCACATACACATGTGAATGCACCTGCAGCACGGGCGTGCAGCATTTTGTTTTCCAACTGTTACACACACACACACACACACACACACACACACACACACACACACACACACACACACACACACACACACACACACGTTGCACGGTGAACACACATCCATCCATCCATCACATTTCCTTACTCACACTTAACATCCACGGCATCTCTACACAGATACCGGCAGCTGCGCAGGATCGTAACGTGATCCTTCTAGTTCGGGATCCAAGGTGGCAGTCCAGCTAAAGATTGCCGCGACGGTGCGTCAGGCTCGGCTGTTCGCTTAAGACAGAGTGCCGATATAGCCCAAACGGAACACACACACACACACACGTTGCACGGTGAACACACATCCATCCATCCATCACATTTCCTTACTCACACTTAACATCCACGCATCTCTACACAGATACCGGCAGCTGCGCAGGCGTGTGCCCCCTGGACCGCGGCACAGGAACACCTGGTTGCCATTGAAACGGCCATCACGCCAAACGACAAACTTGAGGCAGTGTGCAAGGTACGCTACGATTATTGGAAGCACGCGGCGCTTACTTGTATCATGGCACACGGACGTCAACACACACACACAAGGGAACAGCACGCTTCTGTTTGCACACATGCACACACACACACGCACACACACACAACCACAACAACAACCACAAAACACCACCACAGGCCGGACAGGCAGTGCAGGTGCTGGCGAGCGCCGCTGTTGGCGGCTCTGCGGCCGCTGATGACGTGCTGCCCATCTTCGCATTCATCGTCACCAGGGCAACCCCACTCCGCGTCTGGCTCAACGCAGAGGTGGATGTGCTGTGCTGTGCTGTGTGTGTGTGTGTGTGTGTGTGTGTGTGTGTGTGTGTGTGTGTGTGTGTGTGTGTGTGTGTGTGTGTGTGTGTGCGTGTGTGTGTGTGTGTGTGTGTGTGTGTGTGTGTGTGTGTGTGCGCGCTCCCTTCCTTCTTGTTCTCACATCTGTGTTGTTCTGCGTTCTGTGTTTGTTTCGTACATGGTGTATAGTTTATTGCTCAATATGGAGGCTCGCTCCTGGAGTCAGGTGAGATTGTTGCTGCCTCTTTTGCAAGTGCTGTTTGGTCCTGTGTCTTCATTCCCTGTTCTGTGCTCGCGTTGCACCGCTACTCGCACTCACGTGTGCCGCCCCCCCCCCTTTCTGTGGCATTTGTTGTGCAGGCGAGATGGCGTATTGGTGGGTGCAGTTCTGCTCAGCCGTGCACGTGGTCGAGCGTATGCTTGACCAGCAGCAAGGACATGAGGATGGTGATGATGGTGTTGGTGGCAAGGAAGGGCAAGAGGGAAGGCTAGAAACAGGTGATGGTGGTGACGAAGATGAAGGGGAGGTTGATGGTGTTGGTGAAGACGGGAAAATCGATGAGGTGAACATGAAGGCTGCGCATCAGCTTGAGGCGAGCAAATAACCCTTGGTGGTGCTTGATTGCGATTTTGTCGTGTTGCTGTTACACTCGCTTGCGGCGACAACCCAACGCTCAACCGGCTACACGAAGTAAAATGCACCTGTCTGATTACGGCAGTCTGATCACATTGTTTACTCCTCATCACTGTTACAAAACAGGGAGCGAACATACAGTCATGCCACAACTCTACACAACATACCCTTCGTGAACAAACCACCCTGCTGCTGCCGCTACACGCCATCACCCATATGAATCACTGCACTTTCAGACACATTCTCCCATACAACACACACGCGCACGCAAATGTTCACATGCACAACCACAACTTCAACCTCAAACCGCCCCGCCCCCTCCTCACACACACACACACACACACACACACACACTCTCTCTCTCTCTCTCACAGACACACACCCACACAGACACACAGACACACACACACACACACACTCTCTCTCACACAGACACACACCCACCCACACACACTCAGCAAGCCCAGCAGACGGTGCTGCAGAGCGATTGCGACACTGTGGATTCGGCGCAGAAGCAGCCGCCAATGGTCATGGTTGCGCAGTCAATCGAGGCAAGGTTGTTGCCTGACATCTCCACGCCACCAACAATGTTGACGGTGCCAAAGTCGATGCTGGCAAGGCTGTTCTGGTCAAGGTCAACATCACCGCCAATGTACTGCAGGCCGGTGAAGTCGATGGTGGTCAGCTGGTTGTAGTGCAGCAGCAAGTCTCCGTTCACGTGCGTGAGGGACCCAAAGCTGATGGTGGTGAAGTCGTTGTAGTAGAGAAACAGGTCGCCCTCAATGCGGGTGATGGCGCCAAAGTTGATGCTGGTGAGGTCGTTGTTGTTGAGGCGGATGTAGCTGCCGATGCTGACGCCGCTCAGATCGATGCTGGTGAGCGAGCAGAAGCGGATCTGCAGGTCATCCCCAATGGACGTCAGCGTGCCAAAGTTGACGCTGACGAGGTTGGTGTTTGAGTTCAGGTCGAGGCCACCGGTGACGCTGGTCAGGCCCGCAAAGGTGATGGACGTGAAGGAGTTGCGGCCGAGGTCGAGCGTGCCATCGATGGAGGTGATGCCGCGGAAGTTGATGCTGGTGAGCGAGTTGCTGGAGAGATCAAGCGTGCCGTCGATGAACGTGATGCTGCCAAAGTCCAGCGTGGGCAGGTCATTGCTCCAGGCCAAGAGAGCGCCCGCAATCTTGGTAAGGGAGCGGAAGTTGATGCTGGTGATGTCGTTGTTGAAGATGGAAATGCCGCGGCCAACCTTGGTGATGGCGCCAAAGTCGAGGCTGGTGAGGGCGTTGTTGTCCAGCTCGAGCTTGTTGAGGATGATGGTGATGGCGCCAAAGTTGATGCTGGTGAGTGCGTTGTAGTCGGCCAAGAGCTCGCCTCCGATGCGCGTGACAGCGCCAAAGTCCAGGCTGGTGATGAGGTTGTGTGTGACTTTGAAGGAGCTGAACCGGGTGACGCTGCCCATGTTGATGCTGGTGATTTTGTTGTTGTTGACAATGAGCGAGGAGCTGAACGACAGGCCCGTCAGGTCAAGGCTAGTGAGGTCGTTGTGCTCTACCCACAGCGAAAGGCCAATGCTCTGCAATGAGCCCCATTCGAGCCTCGTCAGGGAGTTTGCGCTCAGCAGCAGCGATCGCCCAATGCTGGTCAAGCTGCCAAAGCTGATAGTCGTGAGGGAGTTGGAGGTGAGGTACAGCTCGCCGCCGATACTTTTCAGTTGTCCAAACGTCACCGAGGTCAGGGCATTGTGCCCAAGCATCACGCGCCCGCCAATGCTGGTGATGCCGGCAAAGTCGATGGTGCTGATCTGGGAGTGGGCGACGGTGAGCGCCCCACCGATGTACTCGAGGCGCTCAAACACGACTGAGGTAACCGCTGACGCCTGGGACCACGAGCCCGGAGCCACAATATCCCCGCCAACGCGCTCCAGCCAGCCAAAGTGGAGGGTTGTGGTGCTGGCAGACACGTACACGGAGCCCGTTACGCGGCGCAGGTTGAAGAACTCCTCGCAGCAACATTCCACCACGGCCTGCACCTCGCACACGGCTGCCGCGCTGATGGCGGCACGCGACACCGGGTCGGAGCAGTCGAGCGTGTCCGTGGAAGTTCCGCTGCATGGTGGCGCGGTGGTGGTGGTGGTGGTGGTGGTGGTGGTGGTGGTGGTTGTTGTTGTTGTTGTTGTTGTTGTTGTTGTTGTTGTTGTTG